CCCCCCCCCCCCCCTCCGCTGCAGGGGTCTAAGGTCCCTGAGTCATCAAGTTCTATACACAGCAAAGATTTACAATAGTGCCACTCCAAAAGGTTAGGATTTGTTTTCTCCGAAGTTGTGCATTTAAGGTGCCCTGGTTCTTTTTGGCTAATGGGCCCAAGTTCCCAAATGCACATTCCAAGATCTTGTGGAAAACCTTCCTGTAAAGGAGGGACCAACTTCATATTAATGCCCATGTTTTGGGATGGATGGGATGAGCATCCCTCATATAGGTGTGATGATCCACTCCCACAAACTTTTGTCCATATGGTATATATGTTTTTTACCATTCTTGCTGCAAAAATATCACAAATAACCCAACAATAGAACCGGTCTGTGACAAAAATGTTTTTTTTGTAAGAGGGTACCTGTTTGAGGTCCTGCAGAGCCTGGCTGTCATCTCTGTGCTCTATGCTCTGCACAGCGCTATGGGAGAATGCCCGTGGACGAGGGACCTGCGCAGAGGTGCTGGAAGTGGGAACCAAACGCTCTCCTGAGGCCAGAACAGACGAGGGGGCCCCGTGCTTAGACTCCAGGAGCAGTCCAGAAGGGGCAATGTCTGAGGATGCTGTAGGAAAGCAGAAGAATCAATTACGTACTCTGGAAGGTAGAATCTGGGACTACGTACAATTTATTGGTGAGCCTATGCCGATTGGACAACAGGGGGAAAAAAAAAAACTGGATTAGCAGTTTTCAAAATGTGTCTGAGAACGTTGCCAGTTACTCTTTAATATGATCTCCAACTGTGTAAAAAAAAAAAAAAAGAGGGAATCTGATTGGTTATTATGAGTAAGGGGAAGAATTCTTCTTTCAGGCATAACATTTCTGGTCAATAGATTCCAGTTAACCCCTTCGTGACTGACGTACAGTGTACGTCGCCAGCATCAGGGCTGTTTAAACAGACTCCCGGTGACTTTTGTCGCCGGGACTCTGTTTAAACATGTAGAGCCGACTGTCGGCTTTACAACAGAAGCGATCCTGGCGACTTACCTGTCACCAGATCGCTTCTGCGTCCCGAAGAAGGGGCCGCCCCGCCGGACACCCCCGCCGTGCTTCCCGGGCTCCGTTGCCCCTCCTACGGGCCCGGGACCGGCGATCTTTGTGTCCGCGGGGAGCTGGGGAGGAGGTCGACGAACTTCCGTTCATCGATCCCCTCCCCGTTCTATGGGACCGGGAGCGATGCAGATTGCATCACTTCCGGTCCCTGGGCTGTCAGTTCTGGGCTCCTGCAGCCCAGCTATAAGCTATTGAAGTGCGATCTGCACTTCAATAGCTTATTTCCAGTGTAAAGGTGACACTGGGGGTCTTTTGGACCCCCAGCATCACCTTAAAGAGGACCTGTCACCACCATCTGCTATTACATGGGGGGGCTTGCAAGCCCCCCCATGTGATAGCAGTCAAAGTAAAGTAAAAAAAAAAAAAAAAACAGTTTTTAAAATGAAATTTAAATAAAATAAATCTAATAATAATTAAAAAAAAATTAAAAGTCCCCCGCCCCCGCGAGCACGCGCGTCGCCACGTAAACACGCGTCGGGTGCGCCTACGTATGAAAACGACGAACGCGCTACACATGTTGGGTATCGCCGCGCACGCCGGAGTGAGAGCAATAATTCTAGGGCCAGTATTTTGGGGTATCTCTAAATTGATGACCTGTGGGGGCTTTTAAAGCGTCTTCTATGGACTTTTTGGGGTACTGGGGTTTATCGCAGTTTTACGGATGCACGCAATTTGTAACCTGGGCATGTTGGGTATCGTTTTACTCGTTGTAACCTCATCTTTTATATTTCATTAAAAAAATTGGTATTTTGTTGTGTTTTGGGGCATTTAATTACATTTTTCACTAAATATTGGGGTTTAATAAGGAGTTGCGCTAATATTGCGCAACATAAAAATTTGCAACTACCACCATTTTATTCTATAGGGTCTTGGCATTCATAAAATATATAATGTTGGGGGGTTTTAAGTAATTTTCAGGCCTAAAATGTGGAATATAACATGGGTACAAAAAATGGAAAAAAGGCCTCAGTCATGAAGGGGTTAAGGGACTTGCATCATTTAAAAAAAATAAAATGAAAATGTTTAAAGTAGGTTCTAAAAATCAGTCACCCTTCCACCATAAAGAACAGGACCCCCTATCCTTATATTCTACACACTGACATGGCTTGACAGACAAGTTTAACCCATTCATGTGCACAATCATAGATGGGATGCAGTTCTGCTTTTCACCTACAGGTGGAGATGCAGGTGAGATTAAAAAAACTACAGCTCTTGTCCCAGCAACTTCATAGAGATTCAGGGAACACCTTTGTGTTATTGTAAAAATAGGAGTCAGAAGTATTTGCCCAATTATTTTTTAAAAACAACTTTACAGTAAATCTAAAACATAACTGAATTACATTACAAAACAATTGTCAGTACTTGTAGGGAGTTGGGGAATACGGGAAGACACACTGCCTTGTGACATTCCTTACCTCCTGGGGCAGCCGCAGTCCCAGTCTCAGACATACTCCTTTCCCTCATCTCTTTGGGGACCCCCCAGGGCCCCTGCATCACCTGCTTCACGTCTGAACTGGACTTCTTGCGGTCTTTATTACACCATTTCCAGTCGGGGTGAGCCTTGAAGTGTGCTTCTTTCACCTGGTACATGAAAGGAGGCGATGACACCTTATTATTCCCGATCACAAAAATCGCCTGTAGCTCACTAATTAAAAGCTACATTACAAAAAAAAGCAGCTTTTATCTTTTATTGCAATTAGGGATGCACCGATACTAGTATCGGTATTGGTGCCGATACCGAGTATTTGGGCGAGTACTCGGCCAAATGCTCCGATACCTTCTTGATACGGGAACTTCCGGTCAGATTTCCTCTGACCGGCAGTGCCGTAGGAGAACATCAAGCCAGTTTCCCGTGCAATCGGGAAGCTAGGCAGCGGGTAATGATCCGCTTTCCAACTGCCTGGGAAGCCAGCTCCATGCTGATTGGCCGGGAAGCCGGCTTCCTGGCTAATCAGCATCGAGCCAGCCGAACAGCCAGCTCAATGCTGATTGGCTGGGAAGCCAGTGTTCCAGCCAGTCAGCATGGAGTCGGCTTCCCGGCCAATCAGGAAGCTGGGTCATTCTCGCTGCCTGGCTTCCTGATCGCATGGGAAGCCGGATCCATGCCGATTGGCTGTGAAGCCGATTTCCCGGCAAAGCTCAATTGACAGGTTAGACAATATGGAGCTAGCTTCTCAGGCAATCAGATTGCCCGCGAAGCTGGTTCCATGGCAGTGGAAGCACCGGTATCGTTACTCAGTATCGACGAGTACCGAAAGCAAAGTATCGGTACTCAATACCGAAAAACCGGCATCGGTGCATCCCTAATTGCAATAATTACTTTGAATCCGGAGCTCTCCCCAACAGCACTTCTTTTCCGCCTCTAAATGTCCTCAGTCTGATGAATGACACTAGCCAACACACTTCAACTAAGCCCGGGTCATCAGGAAATCCTGGAGTTCCTCTTTAAAGTGAAGCTTTACTTTGCCTATGCAAGCCCCTCCCATCAGAATATAATCACCTTTCTTTTGATCCCCTGGTGCTCCCTTTATCTTTCCCCAGTTCTTGCAGCAGGACACAGCGGCATGGGAACAAAGAAAGGGTGAGTATATGCTGCTAGGGAGGAGAGAGGAGCCAAGTGAACCTCTGACATTGCTCTACATGGGAGAAAAAAGAGGTTCACCTTAAAGTGAACATTTTTTCCATGAATATACTAGTTTCCTCATTCTGCTAAACCCCATCACCTCGAAAACCACCCCCATCTAGTACCTGAAATGCCAAGTCATGATACTTTTGCTTCTCCTTGGTCCCCAAGGCGTACCACCACTCGCCCAGGATCTTGCTGACTGTGCGATTGTCCTGATTCGGATGGCGCTGATGCACCAGGGCGCGGTGACGTTTGCTGAAAATCATGAAGGCATTCATGGGACGCCGTATGTGATCTTTTTCCCGCTGTTAAGGAAATAAAATCAGTAAAAAACACAGAAAATGAAAAGTTAAAATCATAGAAAATATATCTATTGCTATCTATCCATCCTGCCCCCCAAAATCCATGGCCATGTTACGTTAGATTTGAACTGACACGGTAGACGGCAGCTGCACATGCTGCTCCTGCAAAACTTCCTTTTGACTGAATACAAGCTAGTTTTAACTGCAGCTTGATACAAAGTATGTTTAGCAATGGTGCTTCGGACTAGCCACTGATTAGCAAAAGACACCTCACTTAAGTAATTGCGGCAAAAAAAGAAAAATATTATGATAAAATCATCGAAAAATAAAAAGCTTTGGTGCTCCGGGATGCAAAATTTGAGCACCAGCTGCAGCTTTATAGGACTTCCCAGCATACCTTGTTAGGGCTGCGTCCATCCTTTTCAGAGGACGAGTCTCTTTCCTTCGGAAGTGCGCTGAGTGACTGAGTCCGGCGCTTCCCACAATTCACTTGGAGTGACAATTCAGAAGGCCCGATAGAAAAGAAACTGAAAGAGAATACAAAAAGGTACAATGATAAGAAAGGACTTGGCCTAAAAAAGGTACACGGTGGGCCACATCCATTTGTACCGACGCCATAGTACCGGTTGCCCTAGACAAGACCCATACCCTAAGGCCTCATTCATACAGCATAGAGTTGGCCTGTACAGATCCGTGCAGCGTGCGTTCCCGGGAATGACAGGTGTTGCGTGTGATTGTATGCAGCAGCCTGCCCTTCCCTATGGGAAGGTGCGGCCGTATGCCGCTGTACGCTCACCCGAGCGGGTGTCCGTGTTCGGACGCAGACGGAATACGGACATCCATGCGGATGTGCAGCTCGGGTGAGCGTACAGTCATGTCCTCCCATTGGAAAGAACAGGCTGCTGCGTACAATCACGCGCAGCACCTGTCCTTCCCGGGAACGGCCCAAATACGGCCGTAGGGATCTGTACGGGCCGGCTCTAAGCTGTGTGAATGAAGCCTAAGGGGATAGCATAACCATGGGGTATAGTATAGCCTGATGATGGCCTTAGTAAGTGTCCCCATGAAAGGGACTACACTGGCTGAAATGATGAGTAACGGAAGGCAATCCTCATTACTTTTCTTAAGGTGGTATTGAAAAGATCACCAACCTTGCAATAAATAAAAGGATGCACATACTGTACACGGACATTCCTTTTTAATCCTATTTTGACATTTCAAATCTATGTTGAGCGTTTTCTTTTACTGGTGCCTCATACATGTTCGCAGTTTTTACAATATGAACCAAAGGAAGAAAGTTTTCACTTTTCATTACATCACTAAATTCATAAAGCAAAAATGTCATATTGGCATCAGTCTGCCAATTTATCATTTCTCACTCTATTTCTAAATGTCCATTAAATCCCCATCATAAATCAATAGGAAAAAATTGCAGAAAATTCAAAAATGGCTTGGCCAGCTGATTTGAAAAATGTTCCGGAGGGCATGGCAGCGAAAGGGTTAATAGATGCTGAGAACCACATTCACATTTCCCGCATGCCTTTGTCACATTTCATTCTGTCTTCCTAATATCTCCCATTGTAAATCACACAGAAGCACTGATCATAGTACACAGCTTCTTTCACTGCTGCCTCACAGCTCCTCCCCTCCTGTCTAATGCCCCACCCACATCCCCGCCGACCTTTTTACTTTGCCAGCCTCTCCTACAGCCTGGAACCCAGCTACATGTGAGATGTTGTGCAAGGCATTGTGGGAGTCGATCCGGAAGCAGCAGAAGAGGCCCATGCATATATTTTCGAGTTTGACAACAAAGCCTTTTTATTTATTATGCAATGCTTGCACATACATAATGTGATGCTGGTGCCTTAGATCTCCTTTAATATTTCATGAATACAATATAAAAAATGACCATCTTGAACTATATGTAGCACTGTGAGAGCTATGGGGGTATCACTCAGACAAGGACTCGGTTACACGTTCGGTTTCATGCTCGGTGCCGTTCGTGTTTTAATTAGAATCTGAGGATTTGTGTTGCCCACCAGCTAATACTGCTCATAATAAAAGCAGAAAGACAGAGTCAGCGTGCTGAGGACTCAAGAGTCACGCCTGCACTGTCAGCACTGTGCTCAGTATGGAGGACAGAAGCGGGCTGGCATTACCTGTGCCGCCAGCAAGGAAACCTCACTCTGCAGAAAGACAATCCACAAAGTGTAATCCAACTTACGCATCATCATGGTCGCTTTCCGTCTCGCTATCCACCCTGCGGTCCCCTGTAGCGACCTGTGGGGGGCCCTCTTGGTGCTGTGACTTTCTGGGAGGCTCCTCGTTGGGGAGGGATGGCACAGTTTCAGCGCGAGCCACTCCACAACGCTCATCCTCATTGCTTGTCGTGGGCACAGGCTCGTGTGCCACCGATGCAGATTCAGGGGGTTCTGATGAACAAGAATATGCACAATGTTTAAAGTCAGCTGTTCACGTAATATACATTGATGTCACCGCAGTATAAAACGGGACTTACCTTTGCCTTGGTTGGCTGCCCCTGGGTGATTGACAGGCTGCTGACCCTCGCTGGGCTGGACGGAAGAGTCAGGCTGACTTGGTGCCAAAAAAGGAACCAGAGAGTGCCAAGGAAAGACCGCCACAGACCTCGGCTCCACGTTCGTCCATACTAAAAAGAATTTAAAAAAAAGTGTGTATTATTAGTATAAAAATACTAAAATTCTAGATATGCAATAGGCAATAACTAAACAGCTACTACATGATGGAAAGGGCAGGCTCTCTCCAGGAATAGCCCCACTTTGCAAGGGTTAAATGTCTAGGGGACATGTGTAAAGGATTTTTACTTACCTGACCCTGTAGCCCCTCCGCTGACATCATCAAGTCTAATGCAGTACCCATAGTCCTGCATTAAACATAAGGACGCTTTAGGAAATTCCAATAGCTAGAGCGGAGGGGAGAGAATTGAATGCCGGCAGCTGGAGGAGCAAGGATTGGGGAAGTAAAGGCGCTTTACACGTCCCCTCAGACATTAACGAGCAGTTAACCCTTACAGTGAGGGTGATGGTTAAACTGGGAGGTGTTTGCAGGGCCACCCTCTGCATGGATTTGTGCCCATGTGGCAGGAATCGTCCGGAAATCATGTAATCTATGGCCAGCATACCTCTTTTATATCCGTGCGACTTACAGAATAACCCATTATAGCACATTTATTTATACAGCCTCAGCTTGTACAAGTTGGCACTTCTGAAGGGAATTTACTGTTTACGTTATTTTATATACAATATAAATGTACAAATACTACATAGAAAGTTTTCATCTCAGTAGTTGCTCAGCAGGGACATTCACAAGATCGGCTGACTGGGCCAACATTCCAGCAGTGCGTGGCCCCATCGGCACCCCTAGCTTTGCAAAGATTGATTTTTTTTGGAGCTGCTCTGACAATTGTCGGCTGAAGAGTGAGTGCCGCTGTCAGAATACAAGAGTCCGGCTCATTCAGTCTATGGCCAGCTTTACATCAGAGGGATAACCCATGGATCTCATACAACAGCAAGCATGGAAGACTTGGACGGTCACATCAACCAATGAGTAAACAGTAAAACAGGTAACAAAGGTGCTTCCACCAAACCACACGAGTTTTTCTTTAACTTTCCTATCGAATATGTAACCAGTCCTTCCTAAACTTTGCAGAATACAACTATACACGGCGCTTCGATTGCACACATTGGTTTTAGTTATCCATTTCATGTAATGAGAGATGAAATGCGGCTGTGTCTAATCACAAGCTCGCTCGTATCGTTTATCACAGAATTAGGGAAGCCGTGTCCTAAGTGAGAAGTACCAGGGGTGCAGAAGAGGTTTTTCTGGCAAACGGATATAAATGCACCTTTTCGTGCTTCCTCCTAGACAGGCCATAAAGCAGAAGTAAAAGGGTGGTGGGGGCGGCCAGCATATGCCATGTGGTGCAGGTATACACGGCATACTTCTACATTATGACATGCTTACCTCTGAGTGTTCTCTCCTCCCGTGATGTAAGATACAGGGCTCCACGCATCCATTTTGTCCTGACCGTGCCATGTTGTCCAGCTCTACTTGGGCATGAGCCGCGGTCTCCTCCAGGGATGTGAGGTCCAGGCTCCCTGCCTCCATCTCGTTCTGACAGTGCCATATTATCTCCCTCTTCTTTCAGGTCCGTCATCTTGTTTCGCCCACTGCATAGGCTTTGACGATGCAACTCTTGTGCATGTGCACTTGAGTTACCTCATCTCAGCAACCAGCTCCATTCCTGGCATTTGTGACATGCCGGAACAGTAGTGGGCATGAGCCGCGTTCTCCTCCAGTGATGTGAGGTCCAGGCTCCCTGCCTCCATCTCGTCCTGACAGTGCCATGTTATCTCCCGCTTCTTCCAGGTCCACCATCTTCTGGTTTCACCCACTGGGTAGGCTTTGACGATGCAACTCTTGTGCATCATGTGCACTGGAGTTACCTCATCCCAGCAACCAGCTCCATTCCTGGCATTTGTGACATGCCGGAACAGTAGTGGGCATGTGCCGTGGTGTCCTCCAGCGATGTGTGGTCCCCACATCCACTCAGTCCCCGACTATGCCATGTTATCTCCTTCTTCCAGGTCCGCTGTTTTCTTGCTTTGCCCATTGGACAGGCTCTGATGCTGCAACTCCTATGCATACGCACTGGAGTTACATTATATACCAGCACCCTGCGCCATTCCCCGCATCTTACTGCATTGCGCTTGTGCTACAGTCAGCGTATAAATTTAAAAGTTTGCCAGCAGGTAAGTAAACTTTCTTTGTCAGAAGAGACTCGGAGGGGAATTTATCAAAACTGGAGCAGTTGCCCAGGTCAACCAATCAGCTTCTCTCTTCAGTTTGTTCAGTTCAGATTTGAAAATGAGAGCAACCGATTGGTTGCCATGCACAGCTGCACCAGATCTTGATAAATCTCCCTCCCGGCATCTCCTACCAGAGGGCAAATTTGTGTTTTCAAGGCTTACTTCCCCTTTAATGGCCGACAGGTTGAAGTCGAGGTTAGGCAACCTTGGCACTCCAGTTGTGGTGAAACTACAAATCCCATGAGGCATTGCTAGACTGACCGCCATGGGCATGAAGGGGTTTGTAGTTTTAGCACAGCTGGAGTGCCAAGGTTGCCGGCACCTGATTAAAGTAAAAAGTATATGCTGGGAAGGACTGATGGTAAGGTAGTAGACACTGTGATTTGTTCTTCGCATAATACAGGTCCTCAGTACCGTCATAGTGAAAAATGCTCAATATCTATTGCTGCAAGTACAGAGTAATACCCGTTGATCGGCTAAAAATCCAGCGAGCTACTAACTTCCTGTTTGGGCTGACTACACAGCACATTTGCTGCATTTAAATCCCAAGCACTGTTGTCAGTCCTGCACAGTTCTCCCCTGCTGGACTACAGAATGTCTTCATCCATAGCCCCTCCTTGTTTACATTCTTCATGCTCCCTCCCCTTCAACACAAGCTATTGGCTACTTGCCCCCTCTGCTGCTTCACATGCCATGAAGAGTTTTACCAGCGTTAGCAATGGCAGAATGTTATTTTTACACAAGCAGGACGTCGAATTGTTCATGCACCAGCATACGGGGACAAATAGATGGCAGCTTATGTGGGAGGGAGTGCAGGATGAAAACAAAGAGGTGTTCTGTAGTCCAGTAGGGAAGAACTGGGCAGAGCCAATAACGCTGTTGGATTTTGGTGCAGCAGAGGCAGCTCGTTGTCATCTCAAACAGGAAGTTAAAGATAAACTCTTAACATTTCACAAGAACTACCTCTGCAGTGGCCCCGGTGGGGGGCTTAAGTCTTGGTGTGGAGGAATAAGCTGCAATACCTCCGGCAGGATTCAGCGCTCCCCTATACTCCCTGATGCACCCAGCTGTGGGCCTCGCCGTCCCCATGTACAATGCAGGGCTGTTGGTCCTGCATTGTACTTGATTACGTATCTTAGAGAAGTGGGCTTCATGGGGCTGGTCACACCGATGGAAGGAGCATGCCGGAGCAAGGAATGGGGCAGGTATTGCACCTTATTCCTCTACCCCCAGACCAGGGGTAGCCAAACTCCGGCCTGCCAGCTGTGATGAAACTACAAATCCCATGATGCATCTCTCTCCGGGAGTCATATCTGTGGCTGTGAGAATCTTGCAATGCCTCATGGGATTTGTAGTTCCACCACAGCTGGAGTTTACCCTTGCCCTAGACTCTTGCAGTGTGGTGGAGCTCCACTAAAAGGGGTGTTTTCATGGAATTCCCTGAAGCTCTAATTTACCAGATTAAATGTTTCCTACGCCGAGATGGCAGCAGGAAGCAACCAAATGCCGCTTTCCCAATAAATGCTTATTTCGGCAGACTACAGTATAAAAGACCGGCCCTAATAAAACACAAAGCCTCAGGAGGCAGCGAACGTAAAGAAGAGTTATTTCCAGCAGCTTTGCCGTTTAAGCCACAAAAAGAAACAAAACCCCTGATTCGTCAGACCGTTACTTTCCATATAGAAGAGCCCATTGCATCAATTGCAAGCTGGTGTTGTGCTGGTGTGAGCAGGGAGGTCACGGCTCAGTCTGTACGCACACTCAGGAAGGTCTCCTTTGTTCATGTTCCTGTTTTTACAGACTGGCTGTGACCTTTCGTAAAAAGCTCAGAGTAGCCACTGATACAATGAGAGCGAAGACAGACGAGAGGAGGAGACGAGAGGAGGAGGAGAGGGGCGGAGGGAGGGGTGAGAGGGCCAGACGGAGAAGAGATGCCATGCCACCAGGGGAAGAAGTATGTGAAGGGTCCTTGTAAATAAAAAGCAGAACCTCCAGACGTATAACCATCAATAGCCAGCCAAAGCAGCTGCTGATAAACTCCCATCACAACATAATACAACTTGCAAGCTGCAGGGATCGCAGTCCATATACATGATCTCTCTCATCAAGCCCTGATGAAGGGGCCGAGTTTTGGACCCCTGAAGCATGTTGGACACTTCCTGAATGTCCTCCTGACCCTGATAGAGTAAAGTTGTATCTGGACTATTTTAGCTGGTGTGGTGCTTTAATTCCTTCACTAGTCTTCTGGAATAAAAGGAGCCGTACCTGTCTGTTTGCCTTCTTATTCACAATGTACACTGCGCTGTGCATGTGCAGCTCACCGTACAATTTCAGCATCTGCCGAGACGAATGAACTCCAGTTGCATCATCCCAGCACGACCATTGAAGACGGCGGAAGATCTCAACTAGGGATGCACCGATAACAGTTTTTTGGCATCGTGTACCGATTTTTTTTTCCGGTACTCGCCGATACAGCGTAGCGGTGCGTTGTGCCCCGATTATCAGGAAGTTGGGCGGCGGATCATGACCCGTCTCCCGGCTTTCCGATTGCCTGTGAAGCCGGTGTTCTAGTGAAAGAACACAGCTTCAGAGGCTGCCTGGCTTCCTGACCAATCAGGAAGCCGGGCAGTGTCATGAGGTGCGGTCCAGCTTCCTGATTGGTCAGGAAGCCAGGATGCTTAGCAAAATGTGAAGCCGGCTTGCTAGCCAATCAAGAAGCCGGCTTCACTTGTTCCTCGGCAGCCTGCCTTCCTTATGTGCCGCCCAAATTCCGGATTGGTTAGGAAGCCAGGCTGCTTCGCAACATGTGAAGCCAGCTTCC